TCAGCTATATATTTTTGGAGGACCCGATCAGAGAATTATTAGCCTTCTACTGACCGAGTAAGAGCAAATACCTTGTTATCAAACGGCTTGACTCGGACTGAGTCAGATAAAAGGTCTGATCGGCTGGGTCAGAGGGAAATCAAACAACCCCTAATACATATTTATATATAATATTATGGTTTGAATGTAAAAAAAACTTGTATTTATATACAAATATGGTTTTTAAATGAAAAAATGTCTTTATACGGTTTAAGATGTATTAAAAAAATGTTTATAAGGTTTCAAATGGAAAATGATCAGCATTGAACAAAATTGGAAAAAATGATTTTCGATTTGGAACAAAAAAATAGAATATCAAAATTGAAAAAAAAAGACCTTAATGTCAAAATCGAAAAAAAGTGAAAACTTAGTGCCTTTTGTGGAAAAAAATCAATTTTGACATGTCAGCATGTCATGTCAGCATGCCACGTCATCAAAACTGACACGTCATCATGCCACGTCAGCAAGTAACCGGGTTGACCGGTCAAGTTGTCAGAATTGTAACAAATTAGAAAACACAGTGTCAATTGAGACAAAAAATAACACATTATCAAATTAGAATTTTGGTGTAAACTTAGTGTCTTTTGTTATTTATTTTTTCGTTTAAAATATATAATATATCTAGAGTATACTTTTTAATGACAAAATGATATATAATTGGAGATGAAATATTATTTATATAATTTTGTTTAATTTCATTTTAGTGCTCTATTATTGATGTAACGAAGGCCAATCAAACAAGTTAGTTTTACTTTTCCAAATTCTATTTTTAAAGGGTAATGAGTTTTTTATTCTTGGGTATTCTAGTTTCTTAATTGATGGATAATATCCAACTTTCATTGCGTTTCTTGCAAAGTCTTTGACTTGTGACAACAAAAAATTCATATTGTTGGTATCCCTTACTGATTCATTGGAGTATAGAAAGATAATCTTATATGAACAATAGTAAAAAAAAAATAATAAAAGAAAATTCGAAAACCAAATACAATTGGATTGCATTTTCCATCATCGATAAGCTTCTAGAAGTCAATTATTCCCCACTAAAAAATATATAAATGTGTAATACTTTTCGAACCTTCTTACTAAACATATATTCAAGTTTGTGATGCAGGATTTGAGAACCAGACCATCTCCTTTAGCCCTTGAGTCGGTCTTCCTTGGCTAACAAATTGTAAGTATAAAGTAGTAAACATATGCTTGTAACATCAACTTTAAACAATTGTGTTGCACTCAACATGCGACTTAGTGGTTTTTTGTGATCAGTGAGATATATTTTGTGCTGGTAGAGTTGCTGAAGATGATCTTCAACATGTTGCAGCTACAAGTGGTGCTACTATGTAGTCATGAACATTTTATTCATGTTAAATATAGGTTGCAAAAGTAGTTGATGAATTGCTCCATGTTGATATGGAGAAGGGTGTGATGATGTAACGTCATCTCATGTCCCTAGCAAATCATATCAGGTGTGGTTGTTAACTTCTTCTTGCTCAATAGCCTAAGGCTGAATTGAGTCACCCAATGACCCTATGCAACAAGCATAACATATTTAGTTTGTTGATTATAGCGTCATGATTTTATTTCTTCATGTTATAGCATTATACTCTGAAAATGTATCGAATTGGAATTTGTTCTTGTTTTTTTAGCTGGTCCTTTACTTTTACAACTTTGTTTTTACAAATTCCTAATTTTTTTTTTAAAACATTGTTTTCTAAATATTTTTTAATGTTAGTTTATATACAACTTTAAAGATTTTTTGTTTTTACAGATTTTTTTACAAATTCATTTTCTAAGTTTTTTTATATACCTGTTATGATTCTTGTAAAAACTATAAAAGAGCACGCAAAATAAATATTCGTTTTTACAAATACGATTGATAAATTCATTCAAGGGTGCTTATTCTTTCTATTATGGAATGGAATGGAAAATTATAGTATGGCTTATTTTCTAAGTTTTCTTAAATATTTGTTTTTATGCATGTAAATATTCGTTTTACAAATTTATTGTCGAAGTTTTTGCATGTAAAGGTTAAAAAAGAGCATGTAAATATTATTTTTTTATAAATTCCTCTACGTGGTGTTTTTTTGCTTTTCTAATTTCTATGGAGAAAATTAGTAATTTTTAATGAGTGTTCTATTATGTTCTTTCAGAACTTCTTTGTAACATTTAGTTTCAGTAGTTTGTCTGGACATGCATGTGTCCCTTGTATTCTAGATGAACACATATCTCGTACCTATATGTTGCTCATTTGCATACCCATTAATATTATTATGACATTTGTCAATCTTTTACGATTCCATTTAATTATAGTTGATATGCCCAAATTACCCTTAACGAGACAATTAAAAAAACATAAAAGAAAAAGCAAAATCACGTAAGATGAATGATCAGATGAAGGACACCTGCAATACAAATCAATCCCAATTCCGTCTCAAGCCCTTCTTCCCGTCTACTGTTGCACACCAGAAATCGCTGCCCAGCGCCAACAGCAACAACCATCATCAGGTAATTTATGTTTCTTTTTAAATCTTTGTCTTTGATAAAAATAAAACAAACAACCATGGAACAAGAAAAATATACATTGATTTAGGAATAGTGGCGAGATGCTTTGCAGTATTGGGGATGAATTGTCAAATGTGTCCTTGATAATCTTTCTTTCTCTGTTTCCCTGCATACCAAATGTTTGATTTAAGTCCTCAAAGAAATCAAAACTCTTTTTAGCATCTGTGATATGATGATGACGATCAAATTAAGAGTTTGTTTAATGTGTTTTGGTATATTGCAATGTATATTAAACACCTTTTTTTATTGTGATTTAGGTAATGAAAATGATCTATCAAGCACTAATCATAATTGGTTTTCTCATTCTTATAATCAGAATAACAAAGTTCCTCATTACTATATCTGTTTTAAAAATACTGTTTTAATAATCAAGTAACTTTTCTTGAACTGCTCTACACACCCTTCCAGCTCTTTTCTTGATTTCAAATTATGGTCCTTTAGTTGTGACAATAGAGAATTCGATTCACATAAACCATGTTGAAGCAAACCGTTTTCTGCATTCAGTCCTGTTTGCAAGAGTATTCCCATATGACACACATGTAGATGTAGCACTGACACATGAATGAATTAACTTACTTGAATCATGAAGGTGAGAATTTAAACTAATTATCCAATTTCTCGTTATCAAATTGAGCAGGAATCCGAGAAGGTTGTTGATTTTTATTCAAGTAGAAAAGCTTGTTGGAAGCCGATTGAAGATCAGAAGGCGGAAATTCCTGATGTTGATGGTGGCTCCGGTGTCAATTGAAGATCAATAGACGATAAGAATTGGAGACAAGAAGAAGGGTTGGGGAAGTAATGGAAGAGATCATCGATTCAGATTTCTCTTTTTTTCTCTTTTGTTTACGTGATCTTTTCTCTTTTTTTCTTTCTTTTCTTTTTGTTTTTTATTTTTCAATTAGATAATAAGGGTATATTAGGGATATCAATAAAATTAAATGAGACGGAAGAATGGTGACAAATGTCAAAATTTGAATTGATAGGAAGATTTGTAGGTATAAAAGAAAGAAGACAATTTAATTTCTCTATTTTTATTTAATGAAAGACTATTTGATAGGTTATTTATGTAGGGGATAGAGAATATGAGGCTGCTTGTGTATGTATTAATAGATGTAGAACCTAACAAAATGATGTCGTTTAAGTTAGACCCTTAGTTTGTACACCTCAGATTTTCTTCTTTCATTCCTTTATTCTCGCTCTTCTTCTTTCGCTCACTTAATATGAATCCTTTATTTTTGGTTTATGAATTTCGTTACTTCCGTCGAGATCATCAAAACGACCCGACTAAAAAACTTAATATGATTGTCTTCCTTTGTCTATCCTCTGTTATATCTTCTTCCCTGATGTTGTGATAAACATTTTCTCAATTTAATACTCCCTTCTTGTTTATTCTTGTTTATGTAGATACAGTTTTGAATCATTCTAATGTAGCTCTAGATATTTGGCCACTACTTCTATTATTAATTAAATAAAAACTTTTTCGGGAAAGGTAAAAACTTGATATAGTTCTCATAGATTGTCAGATGAATAATAATAGCATTTGTAACACCCTCGAAAAATCAAGCCAATTTAAAACTTTTTCAACCATTCAAAACCATTAAGTTATTACAAATCGTTTTCAAAATAGTTTAGATATCAGAGTATCCCAGAAATCAAGATCATAAAAATGAGAGGAGGTGCACGATCATGCATTTGCCTTCCCGCGATCATCTGAAGTACCTGAAACAAAATCCAAAACTGTAAGCCCGAAGCTTAGTGAGT